GGACGCGGTACCTGCAGCGAGCGGCGCGGTCTCCGGAGCCCGTCCCCGCCGCCAGCCCCGACGCGGCCACCGCCCCCGACTGCGCCGCTCGGCCGCGCCCCACGTGACCCTCGCACGCGCGGGGGCCCCGCCCTCACTAGGCCCGTCCTCCGCGGCGTAACCGACTGCGCGTGTGCGCTGGTTGCCGTGGCGACCTGGGAAGCGTTGGGCCGCCGACGACAAGGACCTCCGTACCCGGAGCCTTTCTGGCTGAGCGACCGCGGCGCCTTCGGCGAGCCCGGACCCAACATGCACCCCGAGGCCTCGGAGCCGCCGGCGGACGGCGCGGCCGAGCCCGACTGCGCACCCGAGCCCAGGCTGGAGGAGTCGGCGGGCGACCACTGCGACGCGGGCCCAGGGGTCCGCAAGGAAGGTGCCACCGCGCCGGGGAGGCCGAGGGGCCGAGGGCCCATATGCACGGCCAGTGACGGCCAGGGTAGCAGGCAGCACCCCCACACGTGCCCGTCCACATAGCCAGGGTAGCAGGCAGCACCCCCACACGTGCCGGTCCACATAGCCAGGGTAGCAGGCAGCACCCCGACACGTGCCCGTCCACATAGCCAGGGTAGCAGGCAGCACCCCCACACGTGCCCGTCCACATAGCCAGGGTAGCAGGCAGCACCCCCACACGTGCCCTTATACATAGCCACAGCTAATGAACAAACATGGTCAGACCTAGGCAGTCCAAATCCAGAGCCCAAGGCTGTGCCTTGTATGATCCAGGCTTTCTCCCCTTCTGGACTGCAAGCTCAGCTCTGACCAGGCCACCCTGACAGATTTCCAACACCAGACACAATAGAGAGACTAAAGATGGTCAGCAAGGTTGCTGGGAAAGGGCTGAAAGACTGGCTTGAGGCTCTATGGGAAACCTTTTATTAACCAGATAAAGAAAGTAGTGGGTTTGCTTCGTTTGTAGCCCAGTGAACACCTTTAGAGCACCAACTTTCCCGGGAAACCAGGAGGAGCTTGGGGAACTGAGATGGCTCCGTGAGCAGCTTCAGCCTTCTGAGTGCTGGGATTACAGGAGTATGCCATCACACTCCATTATCCCTCATGGGCTGGTGGCTGGCATTCGGCACTTTCACATCCAGCTTTGAGAAAAAAAATTTTTTTTATAAGACCAAAGATTAGGACATTACAACAATACCCATGAACTGGAAATGAGAATATTTTTGTCATATTTGCCTGGTCTTTTTCTAGATAAGGAAATAAAACATTTCACGTAAATTCTATGCTCCCCACCTTTTTAAAGATTTGTTTTATTTATATGTATTATGTCATATGCGGGATGACTTCAGAGGCCAGAAGGGGGCATCAGATCTCCTGGAGCTGAAATTACAGGTGGTTGTGAGCCACCTTACATAGGTGTTGGGAACCAAACGCAGGTCCTCTGCAAGAGCAGCAAGCACTCTAAACCAGTGAGCATCTCTCCAGCCTCCTTTCTTAGTCTCCTTCCCTTCTCTCCTTGTCCAGAATTTTGTATGAATTCTTTCAGTCACTTCTCTGCACATGTCATTAAACAACACCTCACACTGGTTTGCGTGTTTTAATGTTATAAATGGGATACTGTGCTTTTTCTGAAACTGTTTTCTCATACCTTACATATTTCCAGGAATGAAACTATCAGCATGTTCTTCCCAAAGGCAGAAGAGGGAGTCATTGCTGTGTTGCCAGCCCCTCAAAGGCATTTGCATTGTTCATGGATTCAGACTGCTGAAAACAATGCAAAATGAATGTCTCTGTGCACATTTTCATACTGGTCTGTGGAGCTTTTACAGAAGAGCAACTGAAATGTGGCATTTATGCAGTCTTTGCCGTATATTTAAAGATTTCTGGCTGGGTGTGGTGCATGCCTTTAAACCCAGCCCTTGGGAAGCAGAGGCTGGCTGATCCCTGGGATGATGAGGCCAGCCTGGTCTACATAGCGAGTTCCAGACCATCTGGGGCTACAGGGAGACCCTGTCTCAAAGAAGCTAAATAAGTAAATAAATAAACAAATGTGTTCCATACTAAAAGTGCATAATTATTTATTAAATTGAAATTGGAAGTTTTTGTACATTTCTCTGTTTTTAAAATTTTATTTATGTATTTTGTCTTTTTTTTTTTGTCTTTTTGAGACAGGGTCTCCCTGTAGCCCCAGCTGTCCTGGAACTCACTATGTAGACCAGGCTGGCCTTGAACTTACAGAGATCTGCCTGCCTCTAAAATTATTTTTATCAGCGTGTGAGAGAGAGTATTTATGTATGTGTCATGGCACGTGTAAAGGTGGAGGTCAGAGAACATCTCAGAACAGGTTTTCTCCTACTGTGGGTTCAGGGGGTGAACTGAGGTGAACCATCTCACATGCCCAGGATTTTTGTTTAATTTTTGTTTTATCTTGGGTTTTTGTTTGTTTGTGGGTTTTTTCGTTTTTTTGATTTTTATTTAATTTTCTGTTTCTGGTGTTTTATGGACAGGATCTCACTTTGTAGCCCAGGCTGGTCTTGGAGCTCCTCCCATGTCAGTCTCCTGAGTGCTGGAATTACAGACTGGGGTTACCACATCTTGCATTTCTTGATCTCTGTAAACTGACTCTTTTACAGACATTAATGAGACTAAGGAGACGTGTGTGGGACCTTCTGCTTCATCCTGCCAAAGTCAGCGGCAGCAGAGCGGTGACAGCGGGTCAGAGGGTCACTTAGCACACACCCAGAATGACAGGGACAATCGGAGCCCCAGGTATGTAGTGTGCTGGTCATCTACTGAGGAAGAGGCATGGTGATCAGCCCCTGGCACAGACAGCTGCTGGAGGCACCTGCAGATGATGAGCCTGCCCGGTTAATGGCAGAACTAGAGAGAAGAGCAATAGTTCTCTTTTCAAAAAAGATTTCTTATGTGTATGTGTGTGTGTATCTGTGTGTGTATATATGTGCAGGTGCTGTGCTCTCAGTGGCCAGAGAGGGTGTTGGGTCCCCTGGAGCTGGAGTTACAGGTGGTTGTGACCCACTTGGCATGGGTGCTGGGAACCAAACTCAGGTCCTCTGAAAGAGCAGCAAGCACTCTTAACCACTGAGCCATCCCACCATCTCTCGAGCCCCTAGTTCTTTCTTGAAAATTTCTATTTATGATTGTGTGAGCATGTGCTTGCCAATGGTGTACACGTGGAGGTCAAAAGACAACTGGCGGGGTCCTCCCTCCTTCCACTGTGGGTCCTTAGGGCTGGGACACGGGTTGTCAGGCTCCCAGAGAAAGAGTTTTTACCGTGGGCCATCTTGCCATTCTCCCACCCCGTTTCTCATTTTGGGGTTTTTTTTTTGGGGGGGGGCTACAGGGTCTTGTTATGTAGCCGAGGCTAGCCTGAATCTTATGGGCCTGGCACCTCAGCCTCCTGAGTGCTGGATTACAAGCACACACCGCACGTCTGCCTCACACCAGTTGTCCTCCTCCTCCTCCTCACGTTCTAAAAAGTTTATTTATGTGCACATGTATCTGTGTGTGTGTGTATGCCACACGTGTGTACGTTAGGCCAGAAGAGGACGTTGAATCCCCTGTGATCTGTTCAGTGCAGGTGCTAGGATCTGAACTTGGGTCCTGTGAAGATCAACAAGTGATCTTGACTGCCAAGCTACGTCCCCATCTTCCATACCAGTCTTCTGGTTGTTGTTTTTTTTTTTTTAGGTGTATCCTTTGCCTTAAAAATATGGAATGCTTCACGAATTTGCGTGTCATCCTTGCACAGGGGCCATGCTAATCTTCTCTGTAACATTCCAGTTTTAGTATATGTGCTGCCGAAGCAAGCACCATACCCGTCTTCTTGATGAAACTGCTAAAAGATTTTTATTAGACCATACATTGCAGTTTTACAGAATGTTGACAGTAATAATATTACATTAATTCCTAAGAGCTATAGCCCCCAAAAAGGAGAGAGAGAGAGAGAGAGAGAGAGAGAGAGAGAGAGAGAGATTGGGGAGATGCTGGAGATGGCTTGACTCAGCTGGTAAAAAGCTTATGCAAGCTTGAGAACCTAAATTTAGCATCTCAGCACCCAAGAAAAACCCAGGCACAGCAGTGCACATCTGTAATTCCATTGTTGGGAGGCAGACGTTGAATCAGCAAGCTCCAGGTCAGTGAGAGACCCTATCTAAAAAGCTAAGGTGGAGGGCCACTGAAGAAGACACCAAGTCAACCTTTGGCCTCCACATGCACCTGCATGCACATGTATACATGTGAATACATACATAGATATCACACAAGCACATACAGAAGAAGAAGGGGAGGAAGAGGGCTTGGAATAGGCACAAGGCTTGGGATAATGTAGAACTTTAGATATAAAAGGATAGTAAAGACCTCGGGGCTGGAGAGAAGCTCGGTGGTTAAGAGCACTGGCTGCTCTTGCAGAGGACTGAGGTTCAATTCCCAGCATCCACATGATGGCTAACAACCATCTGCAACTCCAGTTCCAGAGGTTATAACCGCCTTTTTGGACCTGTGGACACCAGGCATGCTTGTAGTCTACATACATGCTGCAGACAAACACTCAGACATAAAATAAATAAATCTTTTAAAAAAGAATGTGGTACGTCACACCTGTAATCCCAGTGCTGGGAAGGCTGAGGCAGGAAGAGTGCCTCAAGTTGGAGGGCAACCTGGGTTACTAGCGGGCTCCCAGCTGGCCTGGGCTGCAGAGTAAGACCCCGCCTCTCCCCACCAGAAAAGGAACTTTTGGAATCTATGTGCATACACTTCACTGACAGCTGACAAGCTGAAGTGAGCCCTGTTCCTTTCTGTGTTGGCAGAATGACCAAACAGGTCCTGCAGCAGCTCTGCAGGCAGCACAAGCTGTACCTCACCCCCGCCCTGAACGACATGCTGTATTTACACTTCAAGGGTGAGTCCTGGGAGAGTCTGGGCCGCACAAGGTAGAAAATGCCCCGCAGGGCTCAGCTTTCATGCTCAGATGATATTCAAGTAGAAATCTCCCAAGTTTAGTGGAGACTTGTGACAAAACTATTTCTTTTCAGAAAAAGTCTCAGCTGATTCCAGTTCATAAAAGGGGCTTCAGGGCCTCGGCTCACTGCACCAACAGAAAGGCCTTAGTACCCAGAGATTGTGGTCAGGTCCCCTATAAGCTGAGTGATGTTGAGGTGCTAGGTGGGAATTGGAAAATGATGGCAGGGTGGCTGGGTCAGAGGTCAAGGATGAAGAGGACAACAGTGGGGTTAGCCATGAGGATGTCACTGGAGACCCTCACAGCTGGTGAAATCAAAAGAAAGGGGCTGACATAGGCTGAGGAAGCAGAGGCAGCTAAGAGGCCTTTTCCAGTAATGGGAGGGAGACTACACGAGCTGGGAGGGGTAGGGGGCAGAGAGAGGCCCTGGCTGGAAGCCTAAGAAAGACACACAAAGACTTAGAGCAACAGTGACCTTTGAGGGCTGGGTGTGGCTCGGTGGTGGTGCTGGTGGTGGTGGTAGAGGTGGTGGTAGTGGTGGAGGTGGCGGTGGAGGTGGAGGTGGTGCTGGTGGAGGTGGTGGAGGAGGTAGAGGTGGTGGTGGAGGAGGTGGAGGTGTTGTTGGTGGTGGTGGTGGTAGTGGTGGAGGTGGTGCTGGTAGAGGTGGTGGTGGAGGTGGTGGAGGTAATGCTGGTGGAGGTGATGCTGCTGGTGGAGGTGGTGGAGGTGGAGATGGTGGAGGTGCTGCTGGTGGTGCTGCGGCACTCTCCTACCTGGTGTGAAGCCTTGGGTTTAATCCCTGTTACTGGAAGAAAAAAGGGGGGTGCTTTGCAAAGACTAGGTGTTACTAGGTGTGGGTGCCTTCATCTCTGAAGTCTAAGACCAAGATGCCTGCAGATTCAGTGTCTGACAGGGGCTGCTTCCAGCTTCACTGATGGTATCTCCAGTCTGTGACCTCAGCCTGTAGTCCAGGCTGGCCTGGACTCCTAGACCCTGGAGAGCATGCCAGGCAAGGTCATCTTGAAAAGGGCACTGATCCCATTGTGCAGGCTCCACCCTTGTGAGCTCATCACTTCCCAAAGTTCCCTGCCTCCTCACACCATCACCCTGGAAGCAAGGCCTCCAGCATCAGAATCTGTGGAGATAAAGCGATTTGGTCCCTGACAGCCAGCCGTCAAAGCCACAGGTGCCCTGGGCCGTCTCCGAGTATGCAAGCACCTCACTGGGCTTCCCTTGCCAGGCTTTGACCGCATTGAGAACTTGGAGGAGTACACCGGCCTGCGCTGCCTCTGGCTGGAGTGCAACGGCATCCAGAGGATCGAGAACCTGCAGGCCCAGAGTGAGCTGCGCTGCCTCTTCCTGCAAGTGAACCTGCTTCACAAGATCGAGAACCTGGAGCCCTTGCAGAAGCTGGACACCCTCAACCTGAGCAACAACTACATCAAGACCATCGAGAACCTCTGTAAGCCCAGCAGCAGTCCTGTCTCCGCCAGAGTGGGGGCAGGAGCCTGTTCTGCCCAGTCTGTTGCTCATGCGTGCCGCCTCTCCTCCAGCGTGCCTCCCGGTCCTGAACACACTGCAGATGGCCCACAACCGCCTGGAGACTGTGGGAGACATTCAGCACCTCAGGGAGTGCCAGCGGCTGTGTGTGCTCGACCTCTCCCACAATATGCTGAGCGACCCAGAGGTCCTCAGTGTGCTGGAGAGCATGCCGTGTCTGGTAAGCATAGCACCAGGCCAGCTGACTTCACTGTGTGCCCTCCCTCCCTCCTTTCCTTTTTCCTTTTTATAGTTATATGACTTTTCCTGGAGAGATATGAACAAACATTCTATTCACCCCAAATGAGGCACCAGTAGCAGACCAAAGAAACTATTTCACCCAAGTCCAGACTAGTGAATGGGTGAGTTTCAGTAGTTACTTCGAGCTGCATTGCTGAAAAGCCCGCTCCAGCCTGGGTGACACTCAGGAGAGCCGCATCCCTGGAGTTCCATGGATGACACGCAGGCAGCCTCGGTAGTTGTAACTTACACAACTTGGGGAGAGGCTTTTTGCATCTTGTTTTTTTTTTTTTTTTTTTTTTTTTTTGAGAGTCTCCCTGTAGTCCCAGCTGTCCTGGAACTCACTATGTAGACCAGGCTGGCCTTGAACTCACAGAAATCTGCCTGCCTCTGCCTCCCGAGTGCTGGGATTACAGGCATGTGCCATCACGCCTGGCTTGATTCAGCTTTCTAAGACTTGTGAGTTTTGTGTATTTCCCAAGCCTTGTGTGTTTACTTCTCTTTATAAGTGAATTTTAAAATCATTTTACGTGTATAAGTGTTTTACCTACATTTACGCAACTGCACCCACATGTATGATGCCCATGGAGATCAGAAGAGGGCACTGGATTCCCTGGATCTGAAGTTGCAGACAGTTGTGAGCTGCCATGTGGGTGCTAGGAACAGAACCCCGGTCCTCTGCAAGAGCAGTCAGTGCCCTTGACCCTGAGCACCTTTCTGGCCCTGCCTTCTACTTGTGTTTGAGGTAGGGTCTCTCCCATTAGGCGGGGCTGGCTGACAGCAACCCCAGGGACCCCTGTCTTTATCTCACAAACCACCACACTCAGCTTTTCACATGGGTGCTAGACTGTCTCCCCAGCCCCGTCATTTTAATATTTGATGTCCACCATTTCCCATCCTTTGCCTGAGAAACCCCCAGGCAGGTTCTTGTGTCCTTTGACTCCGTCCAGCCACCTGCAACCAAACACAGTGGGCCTGCACCTCGGCGCGTGCAGAGTCAGAATCAGCTCAGCCACGAGAGCTGTGAGCTTCCAGCAAAGGGGCCTGGGTTTTACTCACATCGACTTAGCTTGGTTAGGGCCAGAGTTTAAAAAGAAAGTATCTTAGACACTTTAATCTTCTGCATGCTTAGTTTATAATCCAGAGCACATATGTAAGAGATCAGTGATGGACAGGACTGCCTAGGGCATGCTCAGCATCTACCTTAAGTTTTAGCTGAAAATAAAGAATATCTTGGAGGTCCATCAACACTGGAGTCTGTCCCTGAGGTGAGTGTGCCTGCCTGCATGGTCACTAACAGCCTGCCAGGGTATCCTTCTTAGTGTGACTAAGAATGTTAAACATGCCAGGCGTGGTGGCGCACGCCTTTAATCCCAGCACTCAGGAGGCAGAGACAAGGCAGATCTCTGTGAGTTCAAGGCCATCCTGGTCTACATAGTGAGTTCCAGGACAGCTGGGGCTACAGGGAGACCCTGTCTCAAAAAAAAAACATAATAAACACAGCCCAGGAGTCCCTGGCTTATGTCTTAGCACGGAAATGTTGGAGAGAGTAAGTGGATTTAAAGGAAAACTGAGCAAGTCATAGTTCAGGGAGAGATGATCCAGAATGGCCAGAGAGCCAGGGAGGTCTGAAGCAATGGGGCCAATGCACCGAGACCTCAGAACCCTCAGCCGATGGGTCTCCTCCTTTAGGGGACTCGGGACTTGCCACAATGCCGGGTGACGGAGAATACAGCCGCCATGACAGGGAGTACAGACTGGGAGCACAGCGCACTTAGGTTTCTTTTCTCACAGTTCTAGTGCCTAGGAATCCAAGATCAGGCTGATTTCCTTCAGAGGCGCCTGTCCTCATCGCCCAACGTCTGCTTTCCGCCCGTGTCTCCACAAGCTTTCCTTCTGTACTCTCTTTCTGTAAGGATGCCAGTCAGGTGCTGGTGGGGCCTACCCTAATGACCTTGCTTAGTTACCTCTTCAATGATCCGTCCTCCAAATACAATCACACTGTGAGGACCAGGGCGTTAACGGAACCTGGATGTCGGGGCAGGGACACCCCAGCCTTGCAAAGGCGATCGTTGCTTTTGTCCGTTTTCTGTTTGGTTGTTGCTTTGGCTTTTGAGAGTTTCCTGTTGCTGAGGATGACCTTGAATTCCTGGGCCTCCTACCTTTGCTCCCCAAGGGCTGGGGTTATGAGTGTCTGCCACCACCAGAGTAAAAAGTGTGCGGCCTGGGTGTGACAGTGCACATCTTTAATCCCAGCACTTGGGAGGTAGAGGCAGGCTGATCTCTGTGAGATTGAGGCCAGCCTAGTCTCCATAGTAAGTTCTAGGCCAGCTTGGCTGCAGGGAGACCCTGTCTCAAAAAGACCCCCCCAAAAAAGTGGTATGTGGTGGTGGTGGTGTGTGTGAGAAAGAATGTATGGACATGTGCACACGAGTGCAGGTGCCCTCGAAGGCAGAAGAGTCAGATTCCTCTGGAACTGGAGTTAATAGGTGGTTGTAAGCTACCTGATGTGTGTCTGCTGAGCAGCACGTGCTCTTAACAGTTGAGCAGCTCTCCAGCCCCAGCCATGGTTATCTGTCACTCTGGGAATATCTTCTGAAAATAGGTCCTGCACAGGAAGGACCAGAGACAGTCACACTGAGATGTGTTTCCACAGAAGACATTGAGAACCAGACTAATGGAACCAGTGCGCTTGGCAGGGGCCGCAGGGAGTGTTCTCCAGTGTGGTTCTGGAAGGCCGCGTCTAAGCTCTGATCTTCAGGTCTGTGCAGGTCCAGTGGCACAGCAGCAGACCACCTCGTTTTCCTGAGCAGTACACCCGGGCATGGCATGGCCACTTCCATTTTGCTCAAAAAAAGGCAATTGGGTTATTCTGAGGGCACAAATGTGACATAATTGTCTTAGTTTTAAAAATTACATTTATGTGTGTGGATGTGTGTGCACAGCACACATGTGGAAGCAGAGGCCAACTTGAGAGAGTCAGTTCTCTTCCTCCATGTGTGGGTCCTGAGGACTGAACACAGGTGGTCAGGCTTGGTGACAAGCTCCTTTTCCTGCTGAGCCATCTCTCCAACCCTGTCTGTTTTGATAATCAACTTGGCCCTGCTTACTGCTTGCAGCGGGTGCTGAACTTGATGGGAAACCCGGTGATTAAGCACATTCCTAACTACCGGAGGATGGTCACCATTCGCCTTAAGCATTTGACATACCTGGACGACAGGCCAGTTTTCCCCAAGGACAGGTAAGAAGAGAAGCCATTGGGTCACATGCATTTGAAAGCTTGATAGTCCAGTGCACTTAACTGTTAGCCCTTCAGACTTTGATGGTTGAACACTTGCACAAATCATTAAATACTAAAATCAAAGGCGTGTGCCACCACGCCCAACTATTAAATACTCTTTGGATTCAGGGTAATGGCTGTCTCGATGTCTAGCGTAGCAACTGGAGCACCTATTGGTAAGGTCACATGCATTTGAAAGCTTGATAGTCCAGTGCACTTAACTGTTAGCCCTTCAGACTTTGATGGTTGAACACTTGCACAAATCATTAAATACTAAAATCAAAGGCGTGTGCCACCACGCCCAACTATTAAATACTCTTTGGATTCAGGGTAATGGCTGTCTCGATGTCTAGCGTAGCAACTGGAGCACCTATTGGTAAATGCTTTTTCACATTTATGCATTGTGTGTGTGTGTGTGTGTGTGTGTGTGTTTCCACCTTTTAACACTTGTGAACAGCACTTCTGTGAGCATTTGTGTATGCGTTCTTGTGCAGACAGGCCTTCTTTGGTAGGAATGGAATTGATGGGTCCCATGACAACATTATGCTGAGCTTTTGAGCACAGTCCACCCCACTTTCCCATCTTTCCAGCAGTGCGCAGGGTTGCAAGCTTTCTGCATCCTAGTCCAAACCTGTTACCGTGTCTTTCCTTCACTGTTCTGCTGAGGGAGAAAGTAGGGTCTGTCAAGGTCGAGACTAGCACTTCCCAGGTGGCTGTTGTCAGGCTTCCCTTCAAGGGACCATTGACATTTGTATCTGCTCTTTTAAAAACATGATGTGACTTTTAGCCGGGTATGGTGGTGCCCGCCTTTAATCCCTGTACTCAGGAGGCAGAGGCAGGAAGATCTCTGAGTTCAAGGCCTGGTCTGGTCTACATAGTGAGTTCCAGGCCAGCCCATTATTTGGTCTTTTTGAGACGGTCTCCCTGTAGCCCCAGCTGGCCTGGAAACTCACTTCGTAGACCAGGCTGGCCTATGGGTGTATTGCCTGCATGAATGTGAGTGCACCGATGTCATGCAATGCCCACAGAGGACAGCGGAGGCTGTTGGATCCCCTGGAACTGGAGTTACGGACAGTTGTTAGCTGCCATGTGGGTGTTGGGATTCGAACCTGGGTCTTCTGCAAGAACATTTGGTGTTCGTAACTGCTGAGCTATCTCTCCAGCCCCCCATAGTGTACTTTTTTTTTGGTGTTTTTGAAACAGGGTCTCCCTGTAGTCACAGCTGTCCTGGAACTCACTATGTAGACCAGGCGGGCCTTGAACTCACAGAGATCGGCCTGCCTCTGCCTCCCAAGTGCTGGGTTTAAGGGCGTGCATCACCATGCCCAGCTCCATAATGTACTTTTTTGAGTTGTTAAGATACCTTAATAGGTAAAGATGCTTGCTGCCAAGACTGATGACCTGAGTTTGATCCCTGGAACCACACGGCAGAAGTATAGAACCAACTCCTGGGAACTGTCCTCTGACCTCCATAATCACCACAGTACATGAACACACAGACACAGACATCAAACAAACAAAAGTATTAGCTAGTGGCACACGCCTTTAATCCCAGCACTGGGAGGGAGGCAGGCAGATCAAGGCCAGCCTGATCTACATAGTGAGTTCCAGGCCAGCTTGGGGCTGCAGGGAGACCCTGTCTCAAAAAGACCAAAAAAAGGAGCTGGAGAGATGGCTCAGTGGTTAAGAGCACTGACTGGTTTTGCCGAGGGCTCGGGTTTGATTCCCATCATCCACATGGTGACTATGAACTGTCCTTAACTTCAGTTCTGGGGAATCCGAAGCCCTCTTCTGACCTCCGAGGTGCTGCATGACACCAGTGCTCTCACATGCAAGCAATACACTCATACACATAAAATAAAAAAATAAAATATTTTTTAAAAAGACCAAAAAAATTTTTAAATAGTGTTCCTTTTTAAAGGAGCGTTTTCCGCTGAAGGGAGAATTGAGTAGGAAGTACAAGTCCCGTCTCTCTTCCCCTCTGAGTCCTGTGTGAGCATCTTGCACCCGTGTGGGACACTTGTTCCATCTGATGAGCCACAGTCAATGCAGGATTGGTACATGAATTCCGTAACTTCCTCTCACTCTCCTTTGTGTGCACACACGGTTTGGACACATCATGTCACGTGTCCCCAGGACAGGATCATACAGGGCTTCACTGCCCCAAAAGTCTTGAGTGCCACCTGTTCCTCGCTCCTACCCCTCCACCTCCAGCCCTGGCAACCACTGGTCCTTTGACTGCCTGAGTCTGGCCTTTTCTAGGAACCACAGAGCTGGAGTTACACGGTGTGCAGCTTACCAGACTGGCTTCTACTTGGCAGTGTCGAAGCTCCCGTCATGCAGCTGTTGAAGGGCATCTGGGCTGCTCCCAATTTTGGACAATTAGAACAAAGCTGCTGGAATGCTCACCCTCAGGCTTCTGGGCAGAAGTCTGTTTCCCATTTTGCTTTTAACCTCCTGCTTTGATTTTTGAAGAAATGAATGAGTTTGGGGAGCCAGGAGATGGCTGTCAGTGAAGTACTTGCTACACAAATATGAGAGCCTGGAGCTGACACACTAGCAGACTGCGCCTGCCCTCCCAGCACTGGGGAGGTGGAGAAAGGGTTCCCGGAACTCACTGGCCAGCTAGCCAAATTCACTCAGCCATCTTCAGTCCCAGGGAGAGACCTCACCTCTAAAGTAAGGTGGATGGTGCCTGAGGAGGAAAGACACCAGAGGTTATCCTCTGGCCTCTACGGGCATGTGTGCACACACAGGTACCTGCACACATACATGCACACAAGTACAAAACCAAGAAACAAGTTTGGTCAGATCATATGTGTTTGTAATTTTTCCCTTTTAAGAGTTCAGCCCTCCCTTCCTCCACCCTTTCCTCCGTCCTTCCAAGGATCTCACTCTGTAGCTCAGGCTGACCTAGAACTCATGATATAGTCCAGGCTGGCTGCAAACCCTTCGCATTTCTCCTGCCTCAGCCTCCCAAGTGCTGGGATTGCAGATGTGCCCACACCCAGCTCTCAGACCTTTCCCTGTCCTCATACAGGGCATGTGCAGAAGCCTGGGCCCGGGGAGGGTTCGAAGCTGAGAAGGAAGAGCGGTATCTGTGGGAGAGCCGGGAACACAAGAGGATCACAGACAGCCTGGAAGCCTTGGCCATGATCAAGCAGCGGGCTGAGGAGAGGAAGAGGGCGAGAGACCGGGGTACGTGTGCAGACCTAGGCTTCGCCTACAGGATGTTCACTGAAAACACGATAGAGAAGTTCATTTTGATACAGTTCTTTCCCTCTGTATAATTTTAACATCTACTGATAAGGAAAACAAACTTGCACACTTGGGGATGGATGTGCTGGTTTATTGTACATGGAAAATTAAGCCTTGGCTGAGCATGTGCACCGCAAGGCGCAGAGCAGTTCGTGTGTTTCTCGGTTGATCTGTAATTTGATTTTACGATCATCAATGCTGAGAACTGTGTTTCGATGACACACAGCACAGAAGTTTCCTTAGGACCATCTCAGAGAGTGTTGGAAATTCTGTCCTAACCCTAAGTCAAAATGTATTAGTGATTTTTAATTTTTAAATTTATTGTTGGGGGGTGCACGCCATTGCACACATGGAGGTTCAAGGACAACTTCTAGGAGTCGGTTCTGTCCTCCCACCATGGGATCTAGGTGAGTTCAGGCTGGTCACAGGCACTCTCACCAGCTGGGCATCTCAGCCCTCCTCTCGAGGGTTTTCATGAAACTCAAGTCAGCACCTCAGCAGGGTTTTATGTTGTTGTTGTTTTCCTTTTTTTTTTTTTTTTTTTTTTTTGAGACATGATCACCCTGTAGCCCCAACTGGCCTGGAACTCACTATGTAGCCCAGGCTGGCCTTGAACTCACAGAGATCTGCCTGCCTCTGCCTCCTGAGTACTGAGACTAATGGTCTGCACCACCACCATGCCCAGCTGGGTTCTTTTTAAAACATTGTTTTTCATTTTATTTATTATTTTATGTCTACGAGTGTATTGCCTGCATGCATATAAGTGCACCTGTGTCATGCAATGGCCTCAGAGGTCAGAAGAGGGCATTAGATCCCCTGGAAACTAGAGTTACAGACAGTTGTTAGCTGACATGTGGCTGGGGATCAAATCTGGGTCCTTTACAAGAGCAGCCAGTGCTCTCAACCTCTGAGCCACCTCTCCTGCTCTCCTTTGGGTTCTTTAAAAACACCCTAGCACCTCTTAGCACTGGCTCTCCGAAGTTCACAGCTGCAGCCTGCCTTGTCCTCCCAAACAGTTCCATGTTCACCTCCGGACTGTCCTTCTCTAGGGGAGATGCTGCCTCCAGACAGTGGGGAGAGTGTGCCCACCTGCCTGGAGGAGCAGGAAGAGCCTCTCGTGGGAGAGGCGCGGCAGAAAATGGAGCTGTTTGTGAAGGAGAGCTTCGAGGCCGAGGACGAGGTCTTCCCAGAGAAGCGGGATGGGGAAGAGCAGCTGGCTGCAATGGTTAACAGAGAGCCAGAGGATCTGGTCCTGGAGGGGAGCCTGTCTGCTCAGACCCAGAACCCCCTGGTGGCCGCACCTGAAGGTAGGCAGTGAGACCATCACCACTGACCGTCAGCCCCTGTCCCTGCACATGGCTGTGGCCTGGGCTCTGAGCTAATTTCTTTGATTCTCTTTCTAGAAGATGCATTCATTGTACAGGGTGTCCGGCTTACTAGCACATCTCACCCAGTGAGATATAGCAGGGCCAGGGATACTGCCCAGTTTCTAGTAGCCATATTTAAAAAGATAAACAGCAGGTAAAACTATTAGTAGTGTATTTAACCCAGCGTGTCACTGGGAATACACAGAAAAGTTTCATCTTTGTATGGAGCCAGCCAAGTCAAGCATATACTTGGCACTAACTGTGTATCACAGTTTGAATGCCAAGTGTTCAAGGGAAGCAGTCCTAACAAAGCAAGCAAATCTGTATGATGTTACTTTCATTTTAACTTTAAATGAAAATCATTAAAAATGTAGGGCTTGGGCTGGGCATAGTGGTGCACGCCTTTAATCCCAGCACATGGGAGGCAGAGGCAGGCGGATCTCTGTGAGTTCAAGGCCAGCCTGGTCTACATAGTGAGTTCCAGGACAGCTGGGGCTACAGGGAGACCCTGTCTAAAAAAGACATAAATAAATAAATAAATAAACAAATAAATAAATAAATAAATAAATGTAGGGCTGGGGGCTAAAGAGATGCTCAGCAGTTATGAGCACTGGCTGCTCTTGCAGAGGACCCAATTTTGATTCCCAGCACCCACATGGCGGCTAACAAGCATTTGTAACTCCAGTTCCAAGGGATCCAATGCCCTCTTCTGTCCTCTGTGGGCAATGCATGACACAGGTACATTTACACACATGCAGGCAATATACTCATACACATAAAATAAAATAATAATAAATAAAACAAAATAAATGTAGAGCTGGAGAGATAGCTCAGTTGGTAAAGTGCTCCTTGTAAACATGAGGACCTGAGTTAGATCCCCAAGGCTGAGGAGGCGGGTGATCCCCGGAGCTTGCTGGCAGGCCGTTAGCTTAGCCTAATCCACGAGTCCCAGGTCCTAGTGAGAGACCCTGTTCCAGCTTGTTTTCTGTTGCTGTGATGAACACTGTATGGGGAGCCACAGATGTGCTACTGTTCTCACTAACTGGACAAAGGGCCACACCAGGTCAGGGCTGCACGAATTACCTAGCAAGTTGTGGGGCCTGCACAGGGAAGACTCCAACAGCCAACCCAGCCTCACTTTAGTCTTTTCAATCCACACTGCCCACTCTCAAGTATTTGAGTTCAGATTAGCCACTTTGTTCAGTATGTGGAAATGTCCCTCATGCCTGGGTCCTTTACAGGATGTGTGTGCTTGGTGGGAGTGTGTGGGGAGGTGCCCATGGCTGCCCCAGGCGCTCTGCATCAGGAGAGGCAGGAAACACAGAGCAAGGAACGGGAGAGGTGGTGGCACTAGGATGAGGGGGGCGGGGGGCTTCAGGGGAGCCACAGCCGCCAAGAGAGGTGTGCGCGTGCCCTGCTTGTCAGGTTCAGCCGTGGCTCTGACTTTGGTGGGGCCCTGGGCTGTCTATCTGGGGTCAGGCCTCCCTGCCATTTTTGTGACTGGAGAGCTATTGTCTCTATCTCTGGGTGACCTGCGGCCTGCCCACCCCTGGGAAGAACGTTTCCATTAGGCCAGGGTCTTGCTTGCTCTAGAGTTTTCCACACAAGGAGGTGCCGTGGCTGGTACTTAAGGTACTTGTGGGTTCAGCATGCAGAGCTGTCACTGCCCCAGCCACAGTGGAGGTGCCACATAGATGTGCAGGTCAGGATGACTTCCTGCACAGCCACTCCACTCCAGTGCCGGTGTGCTTGGAAGCAGACCTAGCCCAGCACTAAGCCCAGCTATCCAGCAGGAGACAGCAGTATAAATGAACAGGCCACACAAGGATAGGATCAAGCACAGGGCCTGGGAAGCTTGGCAAGGGGGGCTGGGAGCCCCCACAGTGCTTCCCATCCAGCCAGCATTGCCATGTTAAATGGCACAGGTCCTGGTCCTGGGCGACAGGGGTCTGTGTGCCTGAGAGGGGCAGGCATTGCAGGCTAGAGGAGATGTGTCTCTCTGGGGCAGGACTGTGAGGCTGGGCAGTGAGTTCACCTCCTTTGAGCTCTGCAGCCTCTGTGGTCTGTGGACTTGCCTCCCAGCACAGGCAGGCCAGCCTCTTACGGTCTTTCCTCAGCAGGGGATGCAGTCCTGCCCTCAGTGAGGATCCCTGCATGCCATCAAGGGGCTGCCCAGCCACACCCAGGAGGCTCTGTACTCACACCTTTACCTCAGGGTTGTCACTGTGACTGAAGCCAGCCAGGACCAGTAACTTCTCACTGCTGTTCCTCAGAGTCCACATCCCTCATGGCCGAGACTGAGAATGTGTTTGTTAGTGAGCTTGAGGGGACCAGAACCAGAGTTGCAGAGACCACCGCCCTGGAGACCCAGGAAAAACTCTTCATAGATGTGAGTGGGGAACTGGTAGAGAAGGGTGGGGTGACACCTCTGTGGTCCTCAGTGCCGGTGGGTCAGGGGTGCCTGGGGAGCAGGTGTGGTACAGGCAGCCGTGCAGACCCCCAGGCCAGCCTGGCTCCCACTCAGCTTTGGAGGTATTGGCCCCTGGACTGTAACAGTCAACTCCAGATTTTTTTCAAGACATTACAGGGCAAAGCAGATCTGCCAGGTTGGGCCTAGAGCTCGTTTACCGCTGGAGCCTGCTGGCCTCGCCTACCCTCAGCAAGTGGCCGGGGGCCCTCACTGGCTGGTCACTGCTCTCGCTTCTGGAGGCTCCTCACAGTGCAACTGCCCAGCAAACGTTGGGTTACAGCCTGTGTCACCCTTCCAAAGCCCCTCCAACTTTAATGATAATAGAACATGTTTCCTGCATGTAAGACATCACGAGAAATCATACCTCTTGTCACAGTGTCCCAAGAATTGCAGTTTGGTGGGGCAACAGTGGGGGGTCACATGAACCCCTGTGGGTTGAAGCTCTTTCTCCAAGACCTAAACTTTGCATCCAAGAACCAACCATGTAGGACGCAGCACAGGTGCTGTTGAGTGGCCTTGCCGGAGGCGAGGTGCATACTGATTGGTCTGGTGCCTGCCAGTGCTCTGAGATGTGTGGTGTCATCCAAGGTTTGGAGGAGGAGTTCGAGAAACAGGTGAAGCAACTTGCCAAGGCCACACAGCCAGGAAATGGTAGAGGGGATACCAGCCCCAGTAGTGTGGCTCCAGGGCTGGCACAACTGACCACAGGATTTACTCTGCCATGCAGGCTGTGGATGAAGATTCTAGACAAACAAGCACAATATGAAAACCCTACTGGCTTGTGGGAGGTGCACAGGGCACTTTTGATTTTGGGATGACACTATTTCCCAAAGAGGCTGTGGCTTCCTCCTGTGCCTGGCCTGCAAAGCCCCTTGTGTTGATCACACGGCTGCAGCTAATATGGCAGTGTGGCTCTGAGCATGCCCAGGGCTTCCTCTGCAGACGTGGGTGGGGGCTGTGCAGGGGCAAGGGCCCTGATCCACACTGCACCTCTTCCCTTATCTCTGGGTGACCTGGTCACTGGCTTTTAGGACCTACCTGACTTGGAAGATGTTGAAGGCACAGACCCATCTTTGGATGACCAGATGAAGGTCAGTACCCATCTTCCCACCTGTAACCCAGACTGGCCTTGAACTCGTGGTAATACTACTGCCTCGGCCTCTCAAGTGCTGGGGTCCACAGGTGTGGTGGCCCATGCCTGTCTTTTCTTGTTTTGAATTTTATGTGTGTGTTTTATCTGCGTGTAAGGTCACCCGTGTCATGCAATGCCCACAGAAGCCAGAAGAGGGTGTTGGATCTCCTGGGACTGGAGTTACAGATGGTTGTTAGCTGCCCTGTGGGTTTTGGGAACGGAACCCAGGTCCTCTGCAAAGGCAGTCAGTGCCCTTAACCACTGAACATCTCTCCAGCCACACCCTCTCCCTGCTACACCTGTTCTTAATCCCTGTTTCCTATTATTTGTGGAGCCCATTTCCTTCTCTCAAAAGCTGTTTCCTATGTGACTCGGGCTGTGCAGCGTGTTTCCACCTCCTCAAGGAAACAGCCATTCTGGCTCTCAAAAGCTGTTTCCTATGTGACTCGGGCTGTGCAGCGTGTTTCCACCTCAAGGAAACAGCCATTCTGGTTTCTTGGAGGTCTTTCCAGCCCCAAGGGTTTTCCTGTGACATTGTTAGAAATGGGTCTGGGGGTCCCACGTAATCCAAAGCATAGCCGCACTGCAGTTTTCCTTTTCCAGAAGGGTTTCAGGGTACTCTGATCCAGTAAGCACCCCTTGTGAAGATGGTCTCTCCCTTGTACACCTAACTCGACAGAGAGCTGGGCTGTCCCTCAGTATGGGGCGCTTGGGCTGCACAACCTAAACGGCTAACTTAAAGGGGAGGGAGGCATGTTGGCAAGAATGTGTTTTTTGTTTGTTTCTTTGTTTTTTTTTTTGTCTTTTTTTTTGCTTTTTTGAGACAGGGTCTCCCTGTAGCCCCAGCTGGCCTGGAACTCGCTATGTAGACCAGGCTGGCCTTGAACTCACAGGGATCCACCTGCCTCTGCCTGCCACGTGCTGGGATCAAAGGTGTGTGCCACCATACCTGCCTAGTAAGAACATTTAAAATTCAGGATCCTGCAGTGTGGCAGGTAACCAGTCATAAAAGGGAAAGGGTGTTGTGAATGGAAAAGAAACTAATGCTACCAATTAGAACTGACACATGAGGAAACATCACAGTAGGTTCTAGAACAAGGCACAGAGAAAGACAGGCCTGTGGTCTTAACATATTTTTGACAGATGATTTTGCTGACCTTTACATCTTACATGGTTTCTTAGAATAATGCAGCTGAGAAGCAAAGGGCAGCTGCTGCCATCAGGGTGCGACCCTGAGCACACAGTGGCCTCAGACGCTTAGTCCAAGTCCCTTCAGGGTTTGTAGTCAGACAGCTAGCTGACAGGCCCTGCTGGGAAGAGCAAGCTGGAGGAAAATGTGGACTAGGCAGACTCTCGAAGCTCGTGTCTTACAGACAATACAGATAGCACTTCCTTCCCATTTCCCATGTGATGACGCCACTCACGAAATCAACAGATGGTGCTGGTGCATTCCTGAGCGCCTCACAAACTTACCAGTTACAGAATTACAGAGGCAGGAAGGAGGGCATGGGTGAGGGACTTGATGCTCCTTCCTGGGCATAATTTGGAGCCATGGATGCCAGACCCCATCCTGGCGGGGGGGGGGGCATCAGAGGTGACCACTGCACGAGGTCATTACATCCCATTACATTGGGTGATAGGACCAATGTTCAGAAGAGTCCTGGAGTATTGTGAATTGGGTGGGGCTGAGGGGTGTGCAGAGGCCAGGGTCCCCACATTGGCTGTACTGTAGGGGAGCTGTGGGGGGGGGTTGCTCAGTATGGAGACCCAGTGGCACTTGGGAGGGACTGGCTACAGGGCTCAGAAGCCACTGAGATGTCCATCCCAAGGCACTGCACCACAGCACTCTTCTGTCTCACCAGGAAACCTGCTTCTTGAAGGTTCAGACCATCTCGAGCTTGAGTGAGGACAGCTACTCTGATCCGGATGGCTCTTCCCTCCCGGTGCTCAAGCATACGCCCACAGGTGCCCTGTCACACATATTCGCTCTCTCCAAGGACCCCTCAGACGTGGCCAAGCTGCCTTTTGCAGACATTTGCAAGTCAGCGGCGACAACAGATACAGAGACCTCAAGTCAAGGCAGCAGCACTGCCTTGCCTTCTGCCTCACCCCGACCCCTTATCCAGGAGCTCGAGGACTGCAAGTCAAGCCAGTCACCAGCACCGATTTTTTCAAGTGATCCTACGTCTGCCTAGTTGAGTGATGGGGCCAGCCGGCCATGGCCAGCTGCAGCTTCTCTACCAGGTAAGGCTGAGGCTGTGGGGAAGTACACTGTGGATGAGACCCTGGCTGGCTGGCATATGTGTCTGTGTTCCCGACGGGGGCCTCTGTCCCATTCACGGGTGACGGTGAACCAATCCCAGGCTCTGTGGTTAGTCTGAGGCTAAGAAACCTACTTTACTCCCTTCATGGCCTCTCCAGGCTGGGGGACATGAGGGAGGGGACCACACACCCCAGGGCCCAGAGTGTGACAAAGTGCTGCAGTGAAGACAAGGGGCTGGAAAATCTCATGTCTGCTGTGGAGGCCACTCCTGGTGACAGGCAGAGAGCAGCCTGGAAAGCTGGTGGCAGACAGAAGAGCAGTGTTTCAGATGAGAACCCACCTTTGGGGGGACAGCGAGGGGAATTTCTGAAGTCCTATGACTGGCCCTCAGCGTCCTGAATACTGAGCTGCTTTGTCTTGCCTCCAGGAGACAGAGCTCACGAGGAAGCAGAGTCTGGGATGGGCCCCGAGGAGCCCAGCACCGGGGCTGGCTGGGAGGACATTGAATTTGGCTTGGACTGAGCCCAAGGCAGCCCACATGACTGCCAGCCTCGCAGCAGCGGCCCAGTGGCCACAGGACATCCTTCCTCTACTGGGCACCACGCGGGGCCCTGGCTGTGGCAGGTGCTGTGCAGGCATGCCTGGGGTACCATGTACCTATTGTGTCAATTCCTAGTTACCACAGCACAGATTTTATGACTAAAGAATAGAAGTGCTGTACCACCCATACTGGTCAGAGTATTACTGGACTGGCAAGTGGGTAGCCCTGATGTTATCAGAACCCCACACACCCCAACTGTGGCATCTTGAGTGCTTCCCCAGAGTGGACAGGGGGGTTTCGTGCATTAGACACAGAGCGTGGACAGGTTTATTCAGATCCTGAACTGGGAGCTGCCAAGGCGTTCTGTGCTATGAAACACTGGCTCCCACGTGGACTGCTTCACAGACCCACAAGAGCTGCTGCTGCCCACACCCAGCAGCTTCCTGTCAGGGTGGGAGGCAAATGCTGACCCAGGCCCAGCTTTCCAGCCCACACTGTCGCCTAGAGTCCCAGCAGTGACACTGAGGCACCATCTGTGGCTGGCCTTGGCGTCACCTGCAGACGGATATACAAAACACAGGTGACATTTTTGTGCTAGTCCTTCAGCATGGCTTCAAACTGGTTTTGGGTCCCCAAGTGCGCGCTGGCTTTCGGGAGGCAGAGGCTCTGTCCCGGAGACCTGTTGGCTAAGCCCAGGTGGCAGGCATGGCCCCCCCACTCTCTCAGAAGCCCATGCGTGGCTTCTTCCGGGGAGGCTGGGAGCCAGAGAGGGCAGGGGTCTGCTGCTGGGAGGGGGTAACCTGGAGGCTGGAGGCCTGGGAGGGGGGTGTGCCCACACATCCTGGTGTGTCCTTCTGAAGTGGCAGCTTGGCCATGAAGTCTCGGACAGTCTGTCGCCGCTCCCGTCGCACTCGCTGGGCCCATAGCTCCTGAGTTGACTCCTGAGAAGGCGGAGTGCCTGGGGGCCGAGGCCTGGCCTCAGTGGTCACCCAGTCTGGGCTCTGAGGGGGGCTGCTGGTATCTGGGTGGTCCAAGTGGCTTTTAAGCGAGGAGAAGGTGCTGGACAGCTGAGTCCGGCGCTTGGGCCGCTTGGCCTGTGTCTGGGGCCCCGAGGTCCGGCCCCGCTGCCCCTCCCACCAGGCAGCTGCCCGGCCTGCCCAGGCTTCCGTCAGGCGCTCTGTTAGCTCATCCTGCTGGCTGCACTCAGGTGCCGGGGGTGGCTCTGCCATGGGGCGTGTGCCCAGGTCCTCTGGTCGCAGGAGCTGCCCCCTGGCCATTGCTGCTCGGAGCCTCTGTGACATGGTCCCCTGGCTCTTCTGTAGCTCCATGTGGCCTAGAAGCCTGCGGTGGGAGAAGGTGGGGGCAGCCCACACAGGGGGAGTGGGAGGCAGGTGCAGGAGGGTCTCCAGCCAGCGGCTGCAGCAGGCGTTGTCCTTGGGGGTCCAGGAGGATGTGGGCACCTGATCCACAGCAGCTGCCCCATGTGCAGAGCAATCTGCTGGGAGGATGGGTGGGCATCCTCCTCCGAGGCTGGAGGCTGGTTGGAGCTGCTGGTAGAAGACGTCCCCAGCGGCAGAAAGTTGGAAGACTGACAGCAGCTGAGCAGAGGCACAGGGTGGGGCAGCAGCCAGACCTGGTCACGGATTGAGGGTCACCTGTGGGCCTGGCAGTGCCCCCCCCCTCCCCTCCTACCCCACACACCTATGACGGGTGCCTCCAGGCGTTCCTGCAGCTGCTGCTGGTTCTTGGGTTCCAGTGGGGGAAATGCGGAGAGGGAGTCAGTGATGGAGGGCAGAGACTTGGGGGGTCCCGCCAGTCGGGGCATGGAGGACTCAGCTCCTGGAGGAAGGAAATGAGCTAGGGACACCAGCCCCGGCCTTAGCCCCACCAACATCTCCACTAGCCACCCACCTGCCAGGCTAACCTGCTATGTGCAACAGCTGAAGCTGCCCACCCTGACCCCCCAGCAGCAGGGGCACTGGGCAGCCAGGGGCAGCTGGGGGCAGAAGGCGGGCCAGCAGGGGTGCAGAGGGCAGGCCATGGTCCCACTTGAGCATTGGCACCATGGGGAGGCGTTCATCCATCAGGTAGATTGAGAACTGGGGCAGAGGAGGGGAGATGAGCGCACATTTGACACTTGGAACCAGCCTTCTGACACCTCTTCCCAAGCCACAGGACTGCCAAGAGGCACACAACCCTCAAAGGAGGGGCACTGTTAACAGCCTTCCAACACCTCTCGACTTGGCCTGCACAGCCTAAAGTGCGAGTTTCTCAAGCAGGTAGCGTCCTGGGTTCTTCTCACCCATCCTCATGGGCAACCTCGGCCTCTTCCCAGGCCCTGATCTGGCTTTCCAGATGCCCTAGTGACATCACGTGTGGGGCCTGCCACCAGCTGGTTCCCATGGCCGTGCATCAGGCCTGTGGTGGTCTCAGCTGGCAGAGGCAAGGAGGCTACTGCTCACCTGGGTGCAGATGAGATGCAGAGGAGGCCACTCGAGGCCCAGCTGCCCCAGGTACTGGGCAAGCAGTACGCGCTCTCCCTTCTGGCAAGAGGCCTCAGCTCCAGCTCGGAACAGCAGCAGCCCACAGCCCCAGGGGCCCTAGGGAGAGAACAGCACCATCAGCGCCCACAGCTCCAGGTACCAGCCTTGCCACCACTGGCTCCTCTGCCTCGCACACCCTTGCTGCCATACCCGAGTGTCAACCATTTTCACTCCGGTGCGGTCACCCACAGTCAGCACCCGAGGGTGGGCAGTGAAGTCTGCCCATCTCCAGGGAGAAGGATCACGGAAGGCAAGTGTCTCAGGGTCCTTGTAGACTAGCTGCAGCCTTGAAGAGGAGGGTAGGCCATGGGTGCAGGCCTGGTGGGGGGCAGGAGGGTGTTGACGGGCTGGGCTGGAAGACTGGGGTGCACTGGGCCGTGGAGTGGGGGGCCATGGCTCTCTTTGGGGTGGAGGGCTTTAGGGGGAAGGGGAGTTACCCGTCCTGGGGGGTCCACAGGCACACGGCTCCAGAACGGCTGCAGGTAGCCAGCTCCCCTGGTAGGTGAGGGCTGTAGGGCACAGGGCACTTTGTGTGATGAACAGCTCACCAGCCCTTCTCCCAGGCCCTTGTGCTTGCTGGGCAGCCCATGCCCTCACCTGAGGCTGATCCCGGTGGCCCCTTTCTCAACTTGCAGCACCTGCAGGGGTGCTGGCTGCACCTGTTCACTGACCTTCCACACGGCACAGTGGTAGTCTGAGCGGATGGCCAGAAGAGCTGGGGAGGACAGGGAGGTCAGGCCTGGCATGTGTACACGTGCTGGGACAAGGGGTGCAGCTGGGCAGGGAACGGGAAGGAAAGGAGGGGTCTTACTTTCTCCTTGGACAGTGCTAGTCACCACTTGCCGCACAGGTCCCCGCAGCTGGATATGCCCGGGGTCTCTGAGGACCCGGGGGTTGCCACCTGATGTCAGACTGACCTCTTGGAAATCTGAGTCCCTGGCTAAGGATCAGGACGAGCTCTGGCACCCATCTTCCCGTTGCCCTGGACTACACTGTGTATGACCTCCCAGGATCCCCACTCAGTGACAAAGGATACACAGCCTGTCCAGGGCACCTCCACTAGGGTAGACCAGCTGTCTGGCCCGTGGGGTCCTGCCAGGCAGCCAGGCCAAGGCACCCCCCGTGAAGGCCTCGTCCAGTAGCAGCTGCTCCCACCGCACAGCCAGCTCCTCATGCAGCAGCCTGTCCAGGAGCAGTGACACTGACCTGCTCAGGACAGGGCTCCCGAGGATGGAAAAGCGCCGCAGCCGGTGGCTGAGGGAAGCCCAAGGGCACCTGGGACAGGGCAGCAGAGGATCACACGGGGCAGTGAGACATGAGCAGAGCCCCACGTCTTCATTATCTGGGACCCATCCCATCTCCAGGCCCCAAACCTAGGTGACTACACCAGCTCCCCACTGAATGGTTCAGATGGTGGCACATCCCAGCCTGGCCAACCAAAGAAAGCCCTTCCTGAACTTGTAGTGCTCTGGAAATCAGCCTGCTGCCACTTGAAAACAGCGACAGAGCCCTATCAGCATTACTTGGACACCTGGATGTAGGCTGTGCCTGAAATCCGCCACCAGTCCCTTTTCCCTTACGCTAGTTGAAGCTAGGCGTTTTGTGTATCATGGCTTGTGCTGTGTGGGGCTGGGGAAGCCACTGCAATGGAAACCTGGACGGTGTGCCAGCTCCTTCCACATCCCACCACCAGCCAGACCTATCCACCCCGTGTTTGCTTTCTCACTGGCCACTTGCCCCCAGGGCTGGTGTCCACCGAGGTCCTGGAGCAGCTTCTTGGCGCTGACCACTGTCATCTTCTTTGAGTAATTCTGTACAGAAAGGTCCTGTCAGGTTCACACCCCTGGGACTCACTGGTGACGTGGGGACCCCTGCCCCGGGCAGTGGCCCTCCTCACTCACCCGGTTTCCTTCCAGCCTGAAGTTCTCCAGCATCAGCTTCCCCAGAGGTGCAAAGGCTATGTCCCCATGATCCCACAGGAAGCGGCTGAGCTGGGGGAACAGGCCATGTCAGTCAGCACAGCCAGGCCGTGCGGCCCAGCCCGGCCCAGGACTACTCACCTGCTCAGTCTCATCCAGCACAACCTGGGGATGGCGCCGGTAGTGGTAACCACCTCTGAAAAGGAGGTCCCGTGCGGTCACGCCAGGGTCCCAAGGATCTGCCAGGAGAGAAGGGTCAAAGAGTCTGAGACGGCACAAAAGGAGGAGGGTGACTGGAGGTGTCCAGGCCCCAGAGTACCCAGAGAAAGAACCTCACCGGGACTGGGAGGCAACAGAGGGAGGGGTCCTGGTGTTGTTGGTTCCCACAGCAGATCCTTGGTCAAGGACAATGTCTCATCCTGGGGGAACAGGACCAATGGTATCAAGACAGTGAGCATGCTTCCCAGCGGCACAGCTCACACCCAGCCCAGTTCTGCTAACTCATCCACTCCTCACTACACCCCTACAAGTTGTTTCACTTTGCTGATGTAGAAACTGAGGCACAGGGCTGCTGTCTCTTCCTCAGATGACAGTCAGTAAAGTGGTTTGTACTTAAATCCAAGCAGCAACTCCAGGGCCTGCACGCCTGACCTCCACCCACACTGGCGTTCAAGGAAGCCAGCACCCACACTATTGGCTAGCTAGACCCCTGGGCCCTCACTTCCTCAGTCACTTCCTCTGGAGTTCTGCTGTACAGCGGGCTAGTGAGGCTCCCAACAGGTACCAAAAGGGCTCCCTTGTGCTGAGGACCACCCTTGACCCCTCTCCCTGCCTGCTTGTCCCTGTGTGCTCAACAGCTCCATGGGCAGCAAGGTGGCTGCAGGTGCCCCTCCTGCCTAAAGTCCTAGGAGCCCAGTCTTCCCTCCCCTCCTTTCTGAGCTCCAGTGGAGCCAAGCCATACTACCTGGCTACTGTACCTGCAGGCCAGTCCACCGGATCACTGGCCCATCCTGACTGGCAGTCTCCGAGGGTGGGGTTGTGGGGCTCTTGGGCCTGTAGGGTTCTATCTTTCTGATCACCTCTGCCACTGGGGGTGAATGTTAGCGAGGGGACTGCCGGAGGACCCTGTTTCCAGCCTCACCTTGCAGTTCTGTGGCAGGGTCAGTCTATCTCTCCAGCTGCACATGAAGGACAGGTCAGGGCCATCAGTCATGCCAAGGGGACCAGCCATAAACAAGGAGGGACGCAGGGAGCTGGGGAAGTCCATCCTGGAAAGAAAGTGTCTAAAGTCACTGGGGCCCTCTGCAGGGATCAGAGTCTGAACAGAGTTCCTGGGAAGCTCAGTGCCCTCAGGAGAGGGTAAAACCAAAGGATTATGCAGCTTAACGCTGGAAGGTAAGAAGGCCCCACGAGGTTCACTTGCAGGGTGCTGGTGGGCAGGTGTAGGCTCCCTAATGGCAGCCAAGGAACCTAGGGAGGGAGACAGCTGCACCCACCTGGGAAGAGGGTCCAGGGAGAATGACCAGCGAATGCAAAGGGAAAGAGCTGGACAGCCACAGAACAAACAAGGACAGTGTGGAGGCCACAGTGGGGGGATGGTGAGGGCGGAGCTTCTAGCGTAGCTGTGTATGACTGACAGGCAGACCAGGCTCTATTGTTCTGCCAACAGGCCATCCGACCGTGGGATGAATACAAGTAAATTTATGCCAAAGAGCACTGGGAACACAAGGCCCCTCTAGAGGTATTGAGTGCCCATTACTCCTCGTTTGTATTTTTAATTACTAATTTTTTAAGGCAGGGTCTCTCTGTAGCCCCAGTAGGCCTGGAACTTGCTATGTAGACCCGGCTGGCCTGGAACTCACAGAGATCCACTTGCCTCTGCCTCCTGAGTGCTGGGATTAAAGGCGTGTGCCACTAGTCCCTGGACTGACTTTGGAGTTTGAAAAACTGAGGTAACTAGTCCAAGATGTGCAACAGCTGCAGCTGCCAGGGGGGAGACATGGTCCTGCTCTCGCCCTTCCCCCCACTGCAAGCTGGAACTTTTAACCCCCAACTCCACATCCAGAAGCAAGTCTTAGCCACCTGCCCTTTGCATTACTGTAGCCTAGGTGCAGCCATGGGGCCCAGCGCCAGGCTGGCTGTTCTGTGTGGCTTCTCCCTGGGCGCTTACCTCAGGCAGTAGACTGTGAGCTTTCTGTATGATCAACTCTTGAGTCCCCCTGGCCGTCCCCACCACTTTCCTAGAAGGGTTGAGGTGCATGTCTCCAGGGGGTGGTTGCACTTCGGACAAACGGGAAGGCACACAGAAACAGTCGCCATTTCATCTCTGGTGCCTGGGTTTCTTTACAGCATCTTATTTTTATGTGTATGACTGTATCGCCTGCATGTATGTGGGTGCACCCGTGTTGTGCAAAGCCCACAGAGGACAGAAGAGGGCGGATCCCCCGGAACTGGAGCTACAGGTGGTTGTTAGCCATCAAGTGGGTGCTGGGAACCGAACCCGAGTCTTTTTGCACGAGCAGCCAGTGCTCTTAACCGCTGAGCCGCCTCTCTCTCCAGCCTCCCCCAACCCTTTAGCGCATCTTAAAGCCGCCTCCCGTCGGGGGCCTCTGTACATTCGGCACTTAGGTGGAGCCCAAGCACCGCCCTTCACCCTGCAGTCCTCCCAGCACCCTCCCTCCCACGGCCCCCGCACCAGGTGGAGGTGCCGGAAGGGGAGTCATCCGGTGCCCGGCGCTGCCCGCGGCGGGAGGAGGAGCACGCGGTCGGCCCGGCGGCCCTGTCTGCGGTTTGCAGACCCCGGGGGCTCCGCGGCGCTGCCCCGACCTCCCCCGGGCCAGTCCACGCGCTCCGAGCATCCCAGGCGCAGGTACCACGGCGCCGGCTTGGCACGCGTCCGGGACGGGGACCGCCAGTCTCACCTGAGCCTGGGGCCACGACGAAGCCACAAGGCTACAACTACCCTCCGGCGCCTTGAAAAGCAGCGGGTCCTGCGTAGGAAAGGAACCGGTTTCCTCAAACCGGACGTGCTTTCTTGAGACCGGAAATCCCGCCCCCAGTCCTGTGGCCCTGGCGCCCTCGAGCGCCACCTGCCGGGAAGATGGGGAATGGGCGTGGTGGGGTGTGAGGTGGAGAATTCCATCCTTGCCGGTGCTGGAAGATGCTGCATGGCTTCACCACCTTCCTGTCTACAGCGGGGCTGTGATCTTAGATTCACTCCACAAAACAGCATCTCTGATGAGTCTCGCACTGTATTTTTGTCCTTAGGTTCTAAGAATGCTTGGACCTATGACTTTTTCAGTAACCACAAAAGTGTCACACATTGGAACATGCCTCACGTCTTGGGGGCCATGGGCACTCATATTTGGTTTGAAAATGAACTATCTCTTCTTATTCCCTCCGAGATGAGAGCTGTCCTTGCGTCAATGCCCTTCCTGTACCCAGGCGATGGCTGGTGTGGCTTTTGCAGCTCTGTCCAGTCAGAAATCTCATTATCCAAGCCCTGTAGCTGGCTAGCATAAGGATCCATCAGTTACCTGGAGACGGGTTAAAATGGTTTTCAGGGCCCACCCTAGCTTCTGATTTAGTAGATGGGATGTGGTCCAATAATTTGTTCCCAGATGAGGCTGCTCTGGTGGCCCCAAGCCCACATTGTGAGAACCACAGCTTTAAAGGACCAATTGCAGGGGGCATGGAAGGTAGCTTAGTTGGTGCAGTGCTTGCTTAGCTTGCACAAAGAGTAGGTTCTACCCCCTAGTACTATATAAGCCCTGGTGTAGTGGCCCATACCTGTAATCCCAGCACTCAAGAGGTAGAGGCAGGAAGCTCGGAAGTTCAAGGTCATCCTTGTCTACATAGTAAGCGTGAGGCTAGCTTCGGCTACGTGAGGCTGTGTCTCAACAACCACAACAACAAAGATAAATTTGCAGATTCTCAACCTCTGGCTGTACAGTTTGTATCTGGAAGCTGCTTAGAATCAGATGGTCCTTTTCCTACCTTCATCATCCTTTCACGGTCTGTTTTTCCTCCTGGAGTCTTGCCCTAGGATGAGTGCCTAACAAGAGGATGCCTGGAGACAGCAGCTGTCCCGCAGGAGATCCTGTAAGACTAAGGAAAGCAGATCAATAAGAGGTAAGGGTGGGAAGGTGTGGAAGGGACTGGGGGACTCAGCATCTTCACCTGAGTGTTGGTCACATGGCATTGAGTGACTGTCCCTGGGGAATACATATCTATTCACCTCAGAGAAGGCAATGACAGCCAAAGAAATGATTCCATCCAAGTCCCACTTGGGGAACCATTGAGTTCATTGGGGTTACTTATAGGAAGGTGGATGTTCTAGTTTGTTACTCTATTGCTGTGACAAAACACTCTGAATACCAACTTGAGGAAGAGTTTATCAGCTTACATCTTCTGGGTCACAGTTCATCAGGGACTCAGGGCAGGAACCTGGAGGCAGGAGCTGGAGCACAGGCCATGGAGGATTGCTGCCCACTGCCTTGTTCCCCTGGCCTGTGCTTATACAATACAGAACAACCTGCCCAGGGGTGGCACTGCCCACAGTGGGCTGGGCTCTCCCACATCACTCAACAATCAAGAAGATGCCCCACAGACATTACACAGGCCAGTCCAATGGAGGCAATTCCCCAATTGAGGCTCCCTCAACCCAGGTGTGTGAAGTTGACACTAAAGCCATCCAGCTCAGTGAATGACCATGAAACAGCTGCATCATCAAAAAGCCTTGAGCCAGCAATAGAGCATAGGTAGAGGGTGCCCGCCCCACCTTCATTACATCCTACATACACTCCAACACCTGCTGAGACCATGTGCAGCTGGGCAGGATTACATGCCGTTGGGATGGGGGTAGGAAGGAGTGGCCAGAATCTCAGGCGAGGGCCTAATGACCCTCCCCACAACCTCCTTCTATGAGGGATGGTAACAGGCCCCATCCAAGCAGGGTTGAATGTAGGTAATCACATTCTGATTTCAAGTTAGCAATGGTTACATCCTGCCCAGAAGACTGTGTTCCACAACATGGGCATGCTAGGCATGAAGGTTCACTGATCCGCACCCTGTCCTGTGGGCATGCTATAATTTCATAAGTTTTCTCGGGTAAGAATAAGAAGGTGCGTCAGCTCTGTTGCCCCATTTCATGGAGTCTTGGAACGCTTGGATAGACCAAAGTCGCTTTAGTTCTTTACTTCAGAAATAGAATCCAGGAGTCCCTTGGCAAGGCAGAACATCTTCAGTCTGGCAGGATCCCCAATGTGTCCCAAAGATTGTTCCCTAAACACTGAGTCAAGAAAATGGATGAGGTGGCTCTCCTCAGACAATACCAGCACATTTATTTAAATTGAAAGATGAAATCAGATTGTTTTTGATAGGACATGAGTCTGCTTAGCAGACTGGTTTGCCTGTCCTCCCCCTGGCTTTGCCAATGAGGTCTTCCAAGGATGCATTTTTTTGTAACTGGAATGGCCTAAGACTGCATCTCTGTAAATAAGTTAGTGGAGCTACATAAGTTTTTGAAATTATTTTAGGGTGCATGTGTGCAAAACGCTGAAGATTATTTGAGATAAGATTGTACTAGATAGCCCAGGCTGGCTTTGAACTCTCAAATGTCCTGCCTCCCCTGAGTGCTAGGATCACAGCTGTGCAATACCACATCCTGCTTGATGATCCTTTAAATCAGTTGTCCATCACTGTTGTTAACAAGTTAGTACAAGCCTAAGACAACTTCTTACCATTCCAGAGCTCAGAAGACCAACAGAGACTCACTGGGCCCAAATCAAGGTGTGAGCAGGCCTTCTTGGGGCTGCATAGGGAGACTACTGTCTTGGAGTCCCAGCTTCTGGAAGCTTCCTGAAGCCCATGGCACAGGGTTTCTTCCATCTCCAGGCAAGCAGTAGCCACTTGACTGTGTCTATGACACCATTTCTGATTCCAACTCTTCCATTAAGGACCCTGTGATTACACTGGGCCTACCCAGATAATTCAAGACTGAGTTTTTGTTGTTATTTTAGTTTTATGTGTATGAGTGTTATGCCTGCATGTGTGTAAGTGCACCTGTGTCGTGCAGTGCTCACAGAGGTCAGAAGAGGGCCTTTGGATCTCCTGGAAATGGAGTTACAGGCAGTTGTTAGCTGCTATGTGGATGCTGGGAATTGAACCCTGGTCCTCTGTAAGAGCAGCTGGTGCTCTTAACCACTGAGCCATTCCTCCAGCCCAGGGCTGATTATTTTAAAGGCAGTTGCTAGAAGCTTTGCGTCCCCCTTTGTCAAATGCCACCACACACTCATGGGGTCTGGGGACTAGGGTGTGGAGATCTTGGGAGAACCGTTATTTTGCCCACGCTCCAGCATTCCGTCACCTGTTTTTGCTCTGGGGGGCTCATTCCGTGGTCTCCTTACCTCCTTTGCATGAGCTACAATGTGATCTAGGAGCATACACTTAACATTCACTCAAACGCACACGGCTGAGGTGCACAAATCATTTACGGAGTTAAAAACCGGCGGCACCACCTTCCATAGCAGACTTTATGTGAATTGTCCCCACCCTGGCCTGCCTCTTATTTTTCCCCAATCACCCCTTCTCTTTAGTCCTCTTACTTAAAAATGTTTTATTATTATTACTTGTATCGGGGAGGCATGCTTGTGGCGGTCAGCCGAGAACTTTCAGGAGTGGATTCTTTCTACCCACTCTGAGCTCTGGGGACTGAACTCAGTCTTGGCAACACTTTAAAGGCTTTTAAAGACCTTTAAGGTGACCCACTGAGCCACCTCACCAGCCCAATCCCTCAACTTTAAAGAACCGACATCTTGTGCTACTATGTTTTTAAAAAATAAAATCAAAATCCATTTTGGGGACAGGTGAGATTCAAGCCAAGGCTAATTTTCGGTTAGCTTGTCCTTCCATTTGGCTTCAAAAAGGCCTGCTGTGAGGTTTAAATTGTGAATGCTAAAGGTTCTGCAGGGATGCTCGGGTGCCGACAAGGGACAAGAGCCCAGACTCAGCGTACTGGATCAGAGTACTAGGCTGGGTGGGGACCTCAGCCTTCCACACCCCAGGACCAGGCGGTTTGAGGGGGTAATCCCCGACCGAAATGCATCCTCCAGCAACCAAGCAGCTCCACGTTGGCGGGTGGCTAGAGAATCCCCCTTCTGCAGCCCGGCCTTCCCATTGGCCAGCCGCAGCATCCATCACAGCGCTGCGGGCTCTCTTTGGCCAGCGCCAGGCGGGGACGGGGCTCTCTCCGCCTCGTGCTCCGCGCTGGAGCCCTGCGGCGTGTAAAAGGGCGCGGCTGGCGCGAGATCCGGTCCCGCCATGGCTTCGACGTCGGGAGCAGACGAGGGCGGCCGGAGGAAGCCGAGGCTGGCGGCCTCGCTGCAGATCAGCCCCGGACCCTGGAGACCCCCGGCCGGCCAGGAAGCTTGGGGACCCTCGGCCGAGTCCGGGGGTGCGGAGGACAGATCCAGGGATGGGCAGCCGCGGGCCCCGGAGGCCGGGGATGGAGCCGCAGGGGTCGGGCAGCCCTGGCCAGCCAAGGTGCTAGGAGACCTCGGGGAGGCCGTCGAGGCCCCAAGGGGCCGGGTGCTGCAGGCAAGGTACTTCCCGATGGCTGCCGGCGGGCTGAGCCTGCTGCTCAGAGACCCGCCGCCCGCCCAGGCCGTGTCCCTGCTCACCCAGTGCGTGGCCAACCTGGGAATCTCTTTGACCTTTCTGGAGGACCAGACTGCAGGTGAGGGTGGGCAGGTGTGCAGGGAGGTAGAGGCCGGTGGGATGCTGAGCTGCCTGTGACCTGGGGACCTCCAGGGCACAAGGTGATGTGCAGGGAGGTCAGAGGCCGGTGGGATGGTGAGCATTCTGTGATGACCTGGGGACTGCCAGGTAAAACCCTCTAGGGGTGATATGCAGAGAGGTCAGAGGCTGGTGGGATGGTGAGCTGCCAATCATGACCTGGGCACCTCTAGGGGACAAAGTGAACAGCTTGGAACATGATGGTGGCAGAGCACTGGCCAGACATCATCTCCCTCAGCCTCATGGGGGAAAGGGCCAATTATAGGCAGTCCCCTCTCATGACTGCAGAATGGGGTCCAGCCTGACATAGATTACACACAACTTGGTAAGGACAGGGTTACACACACGAGAGAAAAAGACAGAATCATTGTGTGCTTTCTTTTAATATGTATTGAGTTTTATGCCTGCATGTATGTAAGTGCAGCCAAGTCACAAAGTTCCGATGGAGGACAGAAGAGGTCAGATCCCCTGGAACTGGAGTTACAGTTGTTAGTTGCCATGTGGTGCTGGGATTCGAATCCAGGTCTACAAGAACAGCCAGTGCTCTTAACCACTAAGCCATCTCTCCAGCCTCCCAAGGCAGAGTTTTAATGTACACCTTAATATGTAACGTTTCCCTTTGCTAGGCAAGCACTGTACCACTGAGCTACATTTTGTGGCCCTCTACTTTTTATTTCAAACAGGGACTTATACTAAGTTTCCTAGTCCGGCCTTGAACTTAGTCTGTAGCCCAGGCAGGCCTTGAACTTTCAGTCCTCCTGCCTCAGCCTCCTGAGTAGCTATGATAAACGGGCCTGGCCCACCAGGTCCAACTCACTTTGTGTATTTTCTTAAGAACAAGGGCACCTGTTCTATGATCAATCCCTGGAAGCATAGCACTCGGTAATGCCTTCATCGGATCACCGGTCACATCCACGTATTGCCAGCTTATTCTGATAATGCTCTTTCTCCAGGCTGTTTTCCCCTGCCCTATGACATTGCAGTCACCTGTCACTCTTTGAAGACGAGGGTCTCACTGTGTAGCCCAGGCTAACCTCAGAACTCATGATGCGGCTGGCTGCCTCAGCCTCTTGAGTACCTGGGATCTGGGCTTGCCCCTCCAGCTGGCTGGCTTCCTTCCACCCTCCGTTTATCAGAAACAGCTATCCCACCTTGATTTGACTTTCGCAACCTTGAAGAGCACTGGCCAGTCATCATGTATGCTGTCCTGGGGGGGGGCTAGGCATGGGGCTCTCTCAACACTGAGCTCAGGCTGCGCGTGGTCAGATTGATGCACACCCTCATCAGGACATCCTGCCAGGGGCTGCGTGGTGCTCCTCGGGACTGTCTTTACCTGGAGGTTGTGTAGTTATCCTGTCCCCACAGCACTGACACCCTGTGGCTTCAGCATCCACCCACGACCTGGGTGGCTTCCATCATTGCTCCAGAGCTGCATGGGGTGGCTTTCTAAGGCAGACGTTGCTCTGCCTGCCTCCACACTTGCTGACTTTGATGCCTTGTAGTCTTGAGAGAGAATTAGTAAGTACCTGCTGGGAACCGGACTACATTTCTACCCCTTGACCAGGTGACCCAGTTGTAGAATTTTCTCCTGTCTCTTCTGTGTTATTACACTTGAGATGATGGCACCGGAAAGGTCTTTCAGGCTGAGGGTCCCTGGAGGCAGGAAGTGGTTCCAGATGCTCAGGGGCCTTCCTCCTGGGCTCTGTCCCTTCTCTGCTTCCCCTGCAACCAAGTCATCCCGTGCAATGCTCTAGAGGGGCTCCATGAGAGCCGAAATGAGTCAGCCAAGGGCATGGCGCGGACAGGCAGTTAGGGTCAGAGCCTCTGTTACTCTGGCTTTTGTCTTATCAGGAGTCATAAGAAGCCTAGTGAGAGGTTGCAGGGTGCGGCAGGTGAAAGGAGGAGCCTAGGGGTCACACCCACTTCTAGAAAAGGTTCAGTCAAGCTGAAGGCCAGGGCCCTCTTTCCTCCTTCCTTTCCCAGGTCCAGGCTCCTCCTTCTCTGTGTGTGCAGAACTGGATGGGTTGGTCTGCCCTGCTGGAACAGGGAGGACCAAGACGGAGGCCAGACAGCAGGCGGCGCTCTCCGCCCTGGACCACATTCGGAAGCAGCTGGAGAGCTCAGGTAGGTGGAGCCCAGCTGGGGCAGGCCGCTCTGTATGTGTGTGCCCCCCCCCCCGTATGCATGGATATATATGTGTGCATGTATGTATATATGGGTTTGTGTATGGGTTTATGCATGTGTATATTTGTGTTTGTGGATGTAGTTTTGTGCATGCATATGTATTTGTGTGCATGTATATGCATGTGTGCCTACATATATGTATTTATACGCGTGCATGCTGGTGTGTATGTGTGTGCATGCATGGCTGTGTACATCTGTGCATGTCTTTGTCTCTGTGTACATGTGTGTATATGTATGTGTGTCCATGTACATGCATGTGCATGTGTGCACCCATTTTCTTGTGCATAACTGCATACATGTGTGTTGTGTGTATATATCTGTGTTTGTGTATGTCTATGTGCTTGTGTGTCTCTGCATGTGTTTGTGTGAATGTATGTATCTGCCTCTGTGTATGTGTGAGTGTATGTATGTGTATGTATATGCCTATGTGTGTGTGTTTCTGTCTCTGAGTATGTTTGTGTGTGTGCATGTAGATGCATATGTTTCTGTATGTGTATGCATCTGTACATATGTCTTTGTATCTCTGTGTGTCTGTGCATGTTTGTGGGTTTTGTGTGTATGTGTGTGGGAGGCTACATGCCACCTCTGCTCTGTCATCCTACTCTGGAGCCAGGGACATGGCAGCTGTTTGTGAACTCTTATGTCTGGAAGGTGGAAACTTAGCCTCCTCCTCTCCTTGGCTTCACAGAGGATGGGGATCCAGCAGCCATGGCGAGTGGGTGGGTCCTCTTGTCTCTTTCAGAGCCCCCTGGGACCCCCTGCCAGCCTCCGCTCACCTACCTGAGTGAAGGTAGGTAGTCTCCTGGCCCAAACCCTGGTATCTGCTTGTGGGGTGAGGGGAGGAGACAAGGGAAGCACAGCCTGTGGGGCCTGTGCTGTTCTCTGGTCCTTGTGCAGAGAATATCGTGACCCACGAGCAGCGCTGTGCAGCCGTGGTCAGCGCCGGCTTCGACCGCCTGCTGAACAAGAGCTCACCATACTGGGCCTGTAAAGGAACAGTGGCCGCAGTCATCCTGGAGAGGGGTAGGGATCTCTCTGTCCCCATCCCAGCTCTGCAAGTTCCCTCAGGCCCCTAGTCTGAGTCTCCTCTGCTCCTTGCTGCACAGAAGTCCAAGGCAGCATCGGCCACTCCAGGGAGACCTACCAGCTAGTGGCCCTGGGCACAGGCAGCAGCAGCTGTGCCAGCTGGCTGGAGTTCTCTGGCCGACAGCTCCATGACTGCCACGGTCTGGTCATTGCCCGCAGGGCCCTGCTGAGGTGAGGGCGACCCTGGCCCCAGCCCCC